TTCGTCTTCGAAGTAGGTTGCCCAGTCAGTCGCCGCATGCTCACTCAATTCCTCCTTGCTAATACTGTCGAATATGGTACCGACGGAGAGATTCCCAGGATCCGCTTCATCGATATTACTTCACCCCATTCGGCTTCAGTGCCATCACTGGTGTCTTAAACGTCAGATATATCGTCGTCGCTCATTCCGTACTCATCCTCATCTCCGGAGCTCATCCGATCGTTGCCGGCCAATATATCAACCGCCTGAGCTGCCGGGCGTGCACTCCGAAGCGGAAGTCCACGTCGTTCCACAGTCACTACAGGCGCTGTAGCTGTAGGAGTAACTGCCCTTTTCATTCGAGTAGTGGGTGGCTTAGCCGGCGACCTGACACGAGGTTTGGGCTGTGTTTTTGCTGGAGACGCCGACGGCGTTTTAGCGGGCGACTTAGCAGGTGGCGTGGCTGTCGGCTTGGCAGGCGAACTGGGCGGCGACTTAGTCGGAGTCTTGGTCAGCGTGTTGGCTGGCGCTTTGGCCGGCGTCTCGGTCGGTGTACTGACCGGTGGACTGTCGGTGCGTTGGCATAGAGCTCTGAGTTAGTTTTCGGCAGAGCGGGGTGGCGAAGCGGCAGTGGTTGACGCTTTGTCTGGTAGATCAGCGGTAGCAATGAATACGAAGGCGGGTCGCTTGGTAGGTGGGGCCTCGTCGTACAACATTTAGACCTTGTAAGTAGCTGTAGCGTTTGTAAGTCGTAAATATACATACATTCTACGTGTAAGTGCTTTCACACATCGTCGGCCCCATCAAAGAAACCAACGAGATGCGTTACGTTTGGTCTTTTTGCCCAGGCATCAGGTGTCAAGTTTCGGTAATCATTAGATAGCCCTTTAGGACTCACGAGCTGTCACCCCAACTTCTTCAGCTTGGCCCAGAGCTTGGTCCACGTAAGCTACTCAATGTGCCTTCGTTTTGGTATGGCGATCTTGTTCTCTCGTGTCCATCCGATTCGCGAAAGGTGCCAAATCTCGAGATTTCGTGGCCGCGAATAATCTTAGCTACATAACATTATTTTTTTTATTTGCATGCGTCACTTGTAATCTGTATATAAAGACTTAGAAGTTGTATGTAGCAAAATACATCGATATTTCATCCTGTTTTATACAGGGGGCGGGGCTAAAAGGGTTAATTTAAGGTTTAAATATCATTCTTGCCCGGCTAATATGTTTTAACGTGTCTTCGGCTCCCCGGTTGGTCGCCCAGCGCTGATTATATCCAAAGTCTGGATGGCCGACGGAGTCTTTTTGTGCTCCGCGCCGGTGTCTGCCTCTTAGACAGAAACACCTACTTTATTTCGTTTCAACTACTCAATCAAATGCAATCGTCCTACCTAATGCCCTGCGACTCAGTCTGTTGACGTCGTTGCGCCCGAATGACCAGTTGTCCTGCTATTAGACACGCAAGCTCGGCGCACCCTCGAGGTACCGCTATATGCGCCGTACACAGGGGAGACACAGCTCCTTTTGCCGCTCACTCACCAAACTCTGTTGCCGCGGTACACCACGTCCGTCCGTTCGCTCGTCTGGTCCAACTCACACTCGACGCTCGGGTCAAGTCGCTCGCTGGCGTTCATTTCGTCTGGTCCAACTCACACTCGGCTCACGGGCCAAGTCGCTCGCTGGCGTTCGTCTGGTCCAACTCGCACTCGACGCACGGGTCGAGTTGCTTGCTGGCGTTCGTCTGGTCCAATGCGCGCTTGACTCACGGGTCAAGTCACTCACTGGCGTTCGTCTCTCGTCTGGTCGGCTACTGGGCACTAGCCACCCGTCACCGCAACTGTTTCTCGTTCCGTGCTCTTCACCGCAGACCTCGTCCTCTGCTCTACGCCGCAGATTTCGTACTGTCTTCTCCGCACCAGATTCCGTTCTCTGTCTTCCGTTGGCCGTACACCATTGTGTCGAACCAACAGATCCCGGGTCTGGCCCGCTATACTTCAACCAGCTGTCGTCGTTCTCTTCATTGTCCGTCCTACAGTGATCCGGCAGCTGCCTGCCTTCGCGCACGCCACTTCGTTCTTCGTCACTCTGTTGTCGTGCTGCACCCGGACGTGATCGCGTCTCCTTACACGACTTCCTCATCATCAGGGTCTTCCACGACCCTGTCGGCGTCGAGCAGCTTATCGTACTCCTCGGCCGACACCTATCGTCGCTCAACATTCCGCTTCGTTCCTTCGCTTGCCGTTGCTACCGCGGAGTTCGTACGCCAGGACGAATTGCCCAGCTCGATTCCGTCTTCGCCGTCGTCGTAACTCCACCAACTGGCCACTCGCACCGAAGGTTTTCCTTTCTGTGCCCACTGCTCGGCTTCTCTTCTTCGAATTTCCACCTGCATGCCGGCCTGCCGTCGCTGCAAATACAGGCGCTCCTGTCTCCTCATCATAGTCGACTGCACCTCCGTCTTCAACTTTATCGTAGACTTGTTCTTCATACAGCACTTCGTCGTCAATGTCCTGCGCCGCTTTCTCTAGCCCTGCCGTCGGATAGTAATAACTCACCAGGAACGAAGAGTGCGCTATCATTGTCTCAGGCGTTCCCGTCTTATCTTCGCGTCGTAAGA